CCTTCTTCTGTTAACTATTTCCTATTTATCCTACTTGTTTGTGCATATTTGTTCACTTGTTGTCTCCCCCATTAGATGGTGTACTCCTTGAGGTCAGGGACCATCTTTTGCCTCTTTTTGTATCCCCAGCACTTAACATAGTGCTGGTACATGATAGGTATTTAATAAAAGCTTATTTGCTGAGTGACCTATATCCCATGTAAATCTATGTTATACACACAGGTATAGGTGTTTATGTGTATAGATTTATAAGAATAAATCCCCATAAATATTCTCTTTTTTTTCTTGAAGATTACAGAAAAGAAAATTTGCAGCCTTTTTTAATCCTTTAAAAAGTTCTAACTTGGCTCCTTGTTGCAGTTTTCAGTTCAATTTTAGCCTGACATTGATGTAAATATAATACTTTTCACTGTTCTGTAATTTTACTTTTTTTTTTTTGACTAGGCGAAGGGGTTAAGTGACAATTTTACTAGTTTGACAATGGCTGATGGCAAACAAATTTTTAAAAAATCAGTGTATTTAACTTTCTGTCAGAGGATTCTTTTCTCCAACAGTCAATTTTTTGATTTCTTAATCATCCCATCATCTCCATCTTCTTCTCGTTTGAACTCCACAACCAATTACTGTAGAAGATTTAAATAATTTTGATAGAAACTCTGGCTTTAGTATGTCTCTTATTTAGCTAATTTATTTCATTTTCTTTTTGTTATAAGAAAATTAAGGAAAATAAGCTTAGAATATTAGTCTTCTGCTGGGTAGTGCATAGTAACTTTATCCCAGAAGATGGTGCTATAAGATTTTCTAGGTTTAATATTGAAGAATCATGAAGAGTCATGATTCTTCAATAACCCTGTAGGTAGGTGCTATTATTATTCCTGTTTTACAGATAAGGCAAATCAGAGATTAAATGATTTATCCAAGATCATATGGATAGTAAGTGTGTGAGGCTGGATTTCAAATCAGGTCTTCCTGAATACCAGGCCTTGTGCTGCCTCTGAGTTTAAAATAGATACCATTTACTGTATTGTAGAAAAGATCATTTATTCCTATGTATTCCAGTGGAAATGGGTGTTATATTTTGTCAAGCTTTTTTCTTCATCGATTAATATAATCATGGTTTTTGCTGGTTGTTTTATTAATATTTTCTATTATATCTACTGCTTTCCTAAGATTAAACCAGTCCCTGCAGTCCCGGTTTAATCCAACGTGGTCAGAGCACATATTTTTGATATATTGGTGTAGTTTCTTTTACCATTTGGTCTAGTCTGTTTTTTAAGGTGTTATTTTTTTCAGTATTTTCTTGTGTCTCCTTTACCAAGCTGTTGACTCGTTTTTCATGATTTTCTTGCGTTACTCTCATTTCTCTTCCCAGTTTTTCCTCTATTTCTCCTGATTTTCAGAATCCTTTTTGAGCTCTTCCATGGCTTGAGACCAATTCACATTTTTCTTGGAGGCTTTAGATGTAGGAGCTTTGACTTTGTTAAGTTCTTCTGAGTGTGTATTTTGATCTTCCTTTTCACCAAAGTTTCTGTAGTCAGTTTTTTCCCCATTGTTTGCTCATTTTCCCAGCCTATTACTTGACTTTTTAACTCTTCGTTAAGGTAGACTCTGCTTCTAGTGTGGAGGGTGTACTGTCAGGGGTTTTGTGCAGCTACTTTCAGAGATAGTTCTAGGGACCTGTGAGTTTTCAGTTCTTCTAAGGTGGTATGATCTAAGGAGAAGTGTTTACTCCTCTCCTGGCCTGTGCTGTGGTCTGTAAGTGACCACAAGCACTCTTTTCTGCCCTGGAACTATGAGGAAGGTCCCCTCTCTACTGCTGCCACAAGCTCTGCTGTACTATAGTTCTCCTCCTTGCCCTAGCACTGACACCCAGGATTACGACCCAGCTCCAAATATGGGCAAAGCAACAGAGCCTCAGTGCTAGTAAAGAGACTCCTGTAATCTCCTTCTGACCAGCTGCCACCACTGCTGCTACTAATTCCATCATTCCCAAAGCTCGCTCCTGGTTTGCTGGACTGCACTCCTCTCTCAACCAGGTGAAACGGAACTTTCCTGTTGACCTTCCAGGTTGTCTTGAGCTGGAAATTTGTTTCACTATCTCTTTTTGTGGGTTCTGCTGCTCTAGAATTTATTTAATCATTTTTAAAAGGTATTTGGAGGAGTTTGGAGGAGAGCTCAGGTGAGTTCTTGCCTTTACTCTGTAATCTTTGCTTCCCATGCCCAACTTGTTGATGAAAGTATTTAGAGATATAAATTGTCTTCTATGAACTGCTTTGAATGCATCTTAAAATTTTGATTTGTTGTTGTTTTCTTGAAATTATGTGTTGTTCTATGATTTATTCTGTAACACACTAATTCATTAGGATTAAGTTATTTTTCAATTTATTTTTAATCCTTTCTTCAAAAACCCTTTGTTGGATGAATATGAATCATATTTAATTATTATCTCCATACTGATGATTCTTTAGTCAGCCTATTCTGCCCATACCTCTCTGCTGACCTGCAGTCTCATGTCTTCATCTGCCTTTCAGATTCTTGAACTGGATTTCCAAAAGACATTTTAAACTAAACATATCCAAACCAAAACTCCTTATCTTTCCCCCTAAATCTTCCCCATATCCTACCTCCCTTCATACCTTGAGAGCAAAACTATACTCTCAGTCCCTCAGGCTTGCAATTCCTCACTATCTCTCACCCTCCACATCCATATTGTTGCCAAGACCTGTGGATTTAACCTTTGCAACATCTCTTGAATTTGCACCCTTCTCTTCTCTGATACTACCGCCATTCTGATGCAGGTCCTTATTACCTCATGCCTGCACTGTTGCTATAGTTTACTTGTAGGTCAGCCTGCCTCAAGTCTCTTCCCATTCCAGTTAGTTCTTCATTTAGCCACCAAAATGATTTTCTGACCTACTCACTAATCTACTCATTAAACTCCAGTGGCTCTCCATCACCTCTGGGATAAAATACAAAATTCTCTCTTTGGCATTCAAAGCCCTTTATAACCTAGCCCCTTCCTACTTTTCCAGTCTTCTTACACCTTACTCCCTGCCACAAATTCTTCAATCCAGTGACACTGGCCTCCTTGCTCTTCCACAAAAGACACTTCATCTCTTATCTCTAGCTACCTCTTTGACTGTCTGTCCCCCATGCCTGAAATGTTCTCCCTCCTCATTTAAAGCTAATGACTTCCCTGGCTTCCTTTACATCCTAATTAAAAACCCATTTTTTTTTTCATAGGAAGCCTTTTACAACCTCTCTTAATACTAGTACCTTCCCTTATTTTAATTCTGTATGACTCTTCATGTTTCAAATGTGAGATAATGATTTCAACATTTTTTTTACTTCAGGTCTCATCTCAGTTGCCATGTCTGTGAAGCCTTCTCTGAATCAATTTCCTGCTCCTCCCTTCTCAGATTTCTCTATAGCACTTTTCCTCATCTCCCTGCCAACCTTATATTCAATCTTGTATTGTGTTTATCAGAGTACATATTGTATGTTTCATAGTATACTGTAAGTTCCTGATGTACAGACTGTATACTATAAATTCCTTGATGTACAGACTGTTTCAGTTTTGGTTTTGTGTCCCCTTGTAGATGTTGAACTGAAAAAAAAATGTTTTTTTATTGTAATTGCCCAAATTACAAATTACATCCCCCTTCATGGTAATGCCCAAAGATGATATTCAGATTCTCTATTGAAGAATAGCAGATATAGGCAATTTCATGGCATGTATTGTGCTCCTTCCACCTAAAACTGCTGATTTATGATAACTGCATTTCACCTCTTGCCCTTCTGAGGGTGGCAATGTGAATTTTTTAGTATGTAATTAGCTTTCTGGTTTCTGGTGGTGAGGTTTAATAGTGAATAATGGTGATTGACCAGAAATGGAACGAGTTCTTCAAATCTAGATCAAGTTGATGGCTTCAAACCAGACAGACTTTGAGGGCTTCTCCTTACAGTGTTCTGTCATCCAAATTTATAGCTACTATACTATATTTATAAGTGCCTCTTTTGTAAACTTTCTTGTTTGCTAGTAAAGTAGAAAGATTTTTGTGTTGTGAGCATGAAAATGGCCAAAATGCACTATTCCAAAATCAAACCCCTTAAATTAGCTTTTCCCTTTTCAATTCCTGGACTTAATTTTATGGACTAACATGATGCTTTTTTTTTCTTCTGTATTTCTGTAGATTTATTGAAAGGTCATTTTCTTGGTACCGCTTTGTTAGGTTACTTAAGCCAACTTAAATTTGTCTTGATGAATTAGAAAGAAAATTCTAAAATGAATCAGATATTTAGGAGTAAGTGAATCTGTAAAATGCTTCTCAGAATGAAGCATGAGACATGTGAGACATATTATGATTCTTTGATTTATCTTTAAAGGGATGTTTTTCCACAGCATCGTGACAAAGGGAAATTTGAACTACTTATAGGTATTGTGAAAGTTAAGCGGTGCATTGTCCTGATTATATGCTCTCCCAATACTGTATGTACCATATGTCAGTTTAAATTCATTAACTTATAACTAGCTTTAACCAACAGTCCAAATTATTGTTGTTTCAGTATTGGGTAAGGAAACTATTAGTGTAAACCTGGAGCATTAAATATGTAAATATAAATAAATATATATGTATGTTTTATATTATATATATGTATTTAATGTATATTTTATGCATACATATACATATATACTCAGACCTCATAAATTCCCATGAAAACCTGCAGTAAAACTTATGTTTGTATTTTCTCTAAGTTGTCTCATTTACCTAAGTTGTCCCTTTTTTGACCCATGCATTTGATAACTGAATCAGAAGGCATTTTCATAGGGGAAACCAAAAATAAATAAGCCAAGGAGGACTAAATGCTGTGGTATTGTTTTTTCCCTTAGCTGTAAGTTTTTGTGTGACTTAAAGATGAATAATTTTGCAAATCATTCTGCTAGACTTTCTTTTGAGACTATACTTAAATATAATCTTAATATGTTTCTTTCCTTACAGAATGACATGACAACTGCTCGTTTACAATGGGGAGAGATACTTATGCCATTACTTAAAAAATACAAGCTTAATATCACATGGGGTGATCAAGATTTGTTAAATATAATGTTTTTTCATAATCCAGGTAATTAGATGTTTTTGTACTTTTAAACATACTTTTAAAGCCACATGGACAATTCCTAGTCATCAGAACTTAAAAATTGTCATAGTTTTCAGTGAGTTGTTGTTGTTGTTGTTGTTTTTAGGCAATGGGGTTAAGTCACACAGCTAGTAAGTGTCATGTGTCTGAGGCCAGATTTGAACTCAGGTCCTCCTGAATCCAGGGCCGGTGCTCTATCCATTGTGCCACCTAGCTGCCCCTAAACTCATTCTTGTCATTATTACTTTTGAAGTCATGTTCTAAATAACAAGTTTTTTTTTCACTTTGTTAAGTTTTGTCATGTAAAAATTCTATATTAGATGTTAAAATCCTTCCCAAATATTGACTCCATAGAAAACTCTTAAAAGTTTATTTTTAGAGTTATGCTCAACTTAGTCTTTCTTGTGATATATTTTTCTACATTTAGAAAGCCTTTTTGTTTTTCCGTGCCACTGGAATTATCGGCCTGATCATTGCATATATGGAAGTAATTGCCGAGAAGCTGAAGAAGAAGGAATCTTTATTCTCCATGGGAACAGAGGTGTTTACCATGATGATAAGCAGCCAGTTTTTAGAGCTATTTATGAAGCACTGCGAAATGTAAGCCTTTACACTTTTATTAGTTTTTTTTTAAAGTAAAATCTTGATTACTCCATCACCTTCTCTAAAATCCCTTCTCCTGTTCATCTTTCTTTCCTCCAACTCCATCCATTTTAGTTATGGTGAGATATGTTTTCCATATTCCAAAGTATAAGCATGAATTCTTTGAATGAATTGAAACACCAGGACAGAGGGAGGCTTCTGTAAATGTGAAGCAATTAACTCAGTAGAATGAATCATGGACAGTTAAAAGAGAAGCCCCATCATTTTCCAATCCCCTGATATACTGCATAGTTGTGTGACCAAGATAATTTCTTGTAAACTCATTTGAAATGCAAGTACTGAACTGTATTTTACAGCACATAACTGGAATGGCCCTTTCCCTAAGTAGTTTAAATAGCATTCATTGTGAACCTCTTGTTTTAAAGCACTGGACTAAATGCTATGGAAAGATATAGAAATGACCATGAAGATATCACTGTCCCCAAGGGACTTAGAATATAGAAAGGGAGATAAAATGTATGTATAAATTAATAAAATCCAAAGTAGAGTGACATAAGCATTATAGAATAGGTAGAAGCAAAGTGCTATTGGGAGGATGCAAGATGGTGATCTTCCATCTTCAGGATCAGGGAGGATTTCATGGAGTAGGTGGTTTTTTATCTTAAATTTGTAGGTTAAGATTTAGATAAATATAGATGAGATTGGCAGAGAGGGAAGCATTTATGGTAGAAGGAATAGTGTAGGCAAAGGTAGTATAAAGCTCATGAAATGTATTCTGGAAATGAGAAGAAGTCCAATTTAGTCAAAGTACAAAGGAATAGAATTCTGACATGGAAGGAATATAAAGGACATCTAGTCCATGAGCATCCCCGATAAGTGACTTTCCAGCCTTCCTTTGAATATCTCCATTTTTGAAGAGGAAAACCTTTTTTTCCTGTTTACTTTTTTACTTATTTATTTTTAATATTAATTTTAAAAAATTTTGAGTTCCACATTTTCTCTCTCTCCTGCCCCTCCTCCAACCATTGGGAAGACAAAAAGTTTAATATCAATTACACATGTGAGGTCATGTAAAATCATATTAGCCATGTAGGAAAAAAAAGGCAAGAAAAATAAAGTGAAAAAAGTGTGCTCAAGTCTGCACTCATAGTTCATTAATTATCTATCTGGAGGTAGATATCATTTTTCATCATGAGTCCTTTGGAAATGTCTTGGATCATTGTCTTCATTAGAGTAATTTAGTCTTTCACAGTTGATCATTGTTACAACATTGCTGTTACTGGTTCTTCTGTCTTCACTTTGCGTTGTCTGGTTTATCCTTCATTCTCAAAGAGGACCATGACATCAGGAAGATGAAGCAAATGAATTGGATTTAAGTGAGGGAAGGCTGTGCAAAGTCACCAGCCTTGCTTTCTCCTCAAAGCCATCTGAGTCCAGTGGCCACATACAGGTCAGGACCAACTGGAGATGGCCCACAATGCAATGGGAGACCTCAGCCTTTTTAAGCTAAGGTCTTTTCCTTTTTCTTTGATTTCTTTGATATACAAACCTAGTAGTGGTATTGCTAGGTCAAAGAGTATGTGTGCACAGTTTTATATCCCTTTGGCCATAGTTCCAAATTGCTTTCAAGCATGGTTGTATCAGTTTACAACTTCACCAACAGTGCATTAGTGTCCCAATTTTCCCATATTTTCCTTTTCTGTCATGTTAGCCAAGGAAAACCCTTTAGAAAGCTCTAATCATTTAGGAAGTTTTATCCAACCTCAGTTTTCTCTTTCTATGATTTATATCTCCTGCTTCTCAGGGACCAAAAAAAGACAGGTCTAAACACTTTTCCACATGACAGGCTTTCAAGTACTTGAAGAGAGGTAACCTTAAGTTTTCTTTTCCAGACTAAATAATTCTATTTTCTTTTGCCCTCAATTCCTTCTCCATCTTCTTTGAACTACTGTTTATAAAAATACTTTCTGTGTCATGGCACTTAGAATTAAATTTAATGTTCTCATACTGGCAGCTAGGTGGCACAGCAGATATTCCAAGCCTGGAGTCAGAAAAACTAATTTTCATGAGTTCAAATCTGGCCTCAGATATTTCCTGACTGTGTGACCCTGGGCAAGTCACTTAACCCTGTTTGCCTTGTTTTCTTCATTTATAAAATGAGTTGCAAAAAAAAAAAGTGAGTTGCAGAAGGAAATGGTAAACCATTCCAATAACTCCAATCTTTGCCAAGAAAACCCCAAAATGGAGTCATGAAGAGTTGGATACAACTGAATAACAATACACTCATACCATATTTTAGGGAAAACACTAATAAAATAAACTGAAGAGCATTCAGAGGGGGTAATCAGAAAAATGATTAGATCAGTTGAAGAAACTCTAGGAATGTTTAGTCTGAAAAAGAATTAAGGGAGACATGATAGTTTTCTTCAATTATTAGAAAGGATATCATGAAGAAGAGGCATTATTATTGTCTGTTTGACACAAAGGGCAGAACTAGTAGCAGTAGGTGGAAATTGTAGAGAGGCACATTTAGGCTTGATTTGAAGAAAACCTTCCTAACAATTAGAGTTACCCATAAGTTAAATAGATTTATTTCTCTTTACTTGGAATCTTCAAAAAAGGCTGGATGATATGTCAGGTATGTTGTAAAAGGACAAGTGCAGGTTGGCCTATGTGGTTCTGAGATATCTTCCAAGTCTGTATGTACAGTCTGATCAGGACAGAGTATAATGATAGAGGTATCATTTTTCTTGTTTAGGACTCTCACTCGTCAGTCTGTTGACTTACAAAGCTTTTTCACTCTCATCTTGTACAGACAATTATATTTCTTTTTCTTGAATTTCACCTTTTTTTCGATTTGGCCTACCATTCTAGTCTATTAGGGTTTTTTTGAGTCCTGAATCTGTCATCTAATATATTAGTTATCCTCACCTTTGTACCATTAACACAAAGGTAAGCATACTGTCTTTGCTGTTATCCTTATCATTGATAAAAATATTGATTCCTAGGGCTACTGGAGATCTCCCTTAAAGTTGACATCTAACCACTGTCTTTTTGGTCTAGTCAACCAATTTCATATCTTAATTGTACTTATCATTTAGCCCACAACAACTTATCTGTCAGAGCAACACAAAGAGACTTTCCCTTCTTTTCTCAGTCTTTGAATACCAGGACATTTGTTGTATTCCAGGCTCTTTTCCATTTCTCCATGATACTTAAGAGATCCTTGACAATGGTTCAGTATTCACATCTGCAAGTTCCTTTAGTACCCTGGGAGGCAGTGTGTTGTAGTGGACAGTATTGGACTTGGGAGTTAGAAAAGACCAAAGTTCAGATCCTGGCTCTGCTACCTAGAAGCTATATGTGATCTTACCTAAGGAAGCTCTCTGAACCTCTGTTTCCTCATCTGAGAAAAAAAAAGGGATAATATGTTTATCACCTACCTCACAGGGTTGTTATGAGGAAAGTGTTTTTGCAAACTTTAGAGTGCTATATAAATGTTGAGTTACTTGCTTATGTAGCTCTTCTAGACCTGTTGACCTAAATTCATTGAGGTTGGGGACCACTAAAGGTTATATCCCTTTTTAGAAAAACTTTATTGTTGTTCTGAACTTGGCCAGCAAACATGAACATTTTTATATACAAAGAACAAGAGCATCAATCAAGAATTTATTAAGTACCTTTTATGTGCCAGACACTGTACTAGGGACTGGAGTTACAAATACAAAGAATGAAACAATCCTTACTTTTTTTTTTGGCTAGGCAATGGGGTTAAGTGACTTGCCCAGGGTCACACAGCCTAGTAAGTGTTACGTGTCTGAGGCCGGATTTGAACTTCAGGTCCTCTTGAATCCAGGGCCAGCGCTCTACTCACTGTGCCACCTAGCTGCCCCTTTCATATATATATATGTATATATATATACATATATATATATGTATATATATATATGTATATATATATGTATATATACATATGTATACACACACACACACACACGCATACATATGTATAGTAAGTTAATACAAAAGTAGTTAAATACATGGTAGTTTAGGAAGGATGGCATACTTGGAGTTGAGTCAGAAGAGACTTGGTTCAAAAAGTGGTGTTTATGTGATCCTGACTGTTATTTGAAAGAACTCTTTCTTTCTAGTGGCTTGCACTATTTTTTCTTTGCTTTGTGAGCTCTGCCATTCCTGAGGATTTGTATGTAGGCAGTTTCATTTATGGCTATAATATAGTTCCCAGGGAGGAATATAGATAAGGTGTCATGTTTTTCAGAGAGAACTATGATTCTTAAGTTGTCTCTGCCTGGCTTGTTTTCCAGATCAGTTGTTTTCAATAATAGATAACTTAAATCTTATGCCATTTCTTTTACTCTTTCTATTTTGTTCCAATGTTTCTTGTCTCATGGAATCATTGAATTATTTGGCTATTTAAATTTTCAGGTAGTTTTTTATTTAGATAATGTTTCCTGTCCTTTCTTCTAAGCTCTTAATTTATTTTTTTTTCCAATAGATCCATTTTTTCTTTCTTTCTTTTTTAATCTCTTACATTGTTTCTTCCAGGTACTTTTATAGTCCTTGAAGCCAAAACATTTTTTTTTTCTGAGCCTTTGATTGTATCTGTTGGGTTACTTTCTTCTCTTGAGTTTTCCTCTTGGAAATCTCTTGACCTGTAACATATCTTCGTAGTGTCTTTTGTTTATTCAGTATTTCCAGCCTTAGTTTTTGATTTAGGACTTTGTGCCAAGGCCAGGCTCATCTCCATCCCTCACAGGCCTGTTTTTGCTCCTGACCTTACTTTTTTGAGGCTCTTGCTGCTGATTTTGACTTCCCTTGATGTACCTCAGAATGCTGGCAGATTTTGGTGTCCCCAGCAAAATTCACCTCCCATTGGGACACCACTGAAGGCTTACATTTCCCTGGAGTATCTCTGGTTAGTTTGCTACAGTAGGTCCTTCCTCCCTGAGATTTCTGCAAATGTTGTGCTTTGGTGTTCATTACTCCCCGGGTAATTCCCACAGTACTGCTGTGGGCTGGTTCATTCATCTGAGCTCATGCTGGTTTTCCTGGTGGATTCTAATCCCATAAGTTCCAATGGTCCAGTCTGTCCTTTTTGTGATATCTAGAATGAGTAAAGGAACTTACTAATGTTCTTTGGATTTCTTGATCATTTTTCAATGTTGTGCCATTTTAAGTCCTTGCTAGAGAATATGTGGGATGAGCTAGGCTAATACCCTTTCTTGCCTCATTCTTAACTGGAATCTTTAGCCCTCCTTTAACCTTTTTTTTATTCAGTTCTTAATTGGTGAAAAGATTGTCTTCCATGCCACAAAAAGCAGAATCAAAATTGGAGTTTACTAGTTGTCTTCTATTTGTGCTCTATTAGCATTATCTTATCCACCCTGAATATCGACTGATAACTTTTTTAATATTCTGTTTCTTCATTGGGCATATTCTGATCATCAGACTTATCCCATTCTCTTAGTAATTGCTAAGGGGTAGAATTTCCTTACTTTCTTTGGGATTTCTAGTGTAATTTATTTCTCATGCCTTTTGCATTTATTAATAGCCAATGGAGTTCATGACTTTTATTGTTGATTCTCTTCCTGGATATTGGTTTCTATCAGTTATTAATCCTCTCCTCTCTCTGATCTCCCAATTTACTTCTTGTAGCATTTTTTTTGTATACACACATACACACTCATCCACATTTATCAATCCTTTATTAGACTTACTCTATTTTTTCTCAAGAGCCCTTATTCTTGTGTTTTAAGTTGTGATCCAGAAGTTCAAATCCTGTTCTGAGATATTTTCCGTATTGACTTCCTCTTCCAAGGCTCTGTTTTCAATTGGCCATGGAAAAACAAAAACAAAAACCTTTTGGTCCTAAAATCTTCTTTGCTTGCCTAGGACTTCATAATTCTTAACAATTATTTGTAAATTCCTTCTCATTGTATCATTTGTCTCCATGTGAATCACCAGGAGTAGTTCTGGTAGGTCTGTAGGTTTGACAAATCCAGGAGGTTCTTCATCACACATCTCTGGGAAGACAACAGACCTATCTCTTGTTTATGTCAGGTCATGAGGCAGTCACCAGCCACAACTACTCATCTCTTTTTCATTTGATCATTATTAAATGACCCTTCTCTTTGTAGTCACTATGGATCCACATTACCTTTTTTTGGAGCACAAGAAGGTGTTTCTTCCTAAGAGGGTCTAGCTCTACCTTGTATGGGAGAGGTTGACAGTTGCCTTCTATTCTTAAGTGCTAGAGAGATATCCTGAACTTTCCCACACCATTCCATTTAATAATCACTGATTAATCTGAATTGAATCATAAATTTGTATATTTCTTGAAATTCTTTCTATTTTCAACAGGTAAAGTATTCTAGAAGTAAAATATTACATATATTTGTTCTTTGCTTTGAAAATTACTTCCTTCTATTTGTTCTAAGATCACTTCTTCAAGGAATTGCCCTTAATTATTGTGTTCTGGGATTCATAAGGGAATTTCATGTTTTCTTTGTCTATATATGCCCTCCTGTTGTTCTAGATTTTAATTATAGTTCCTCTTTGATCATACAGCTGTGACCTGCCAACTCTCAAATTCTGGTCTTAGCTGCAGTCATCCAAATGACTCTAACCTTCTGTAGTCCTTCACAAGCGTTTTTCTCCTCTTCCATTAAATATATGTCTTTCCTATCTTGAGAAACAAAAACCTCAACAGCTTAACAACTTTATCTTGACCTTCCTTCACTGGCTTGGTGTAGTCGTTTTCCTTCTATTACCAACATTTGTTGTCATTTCTCTAAACTTATTACCTGCGTTTCTATGCTACTAACTACTTCCTATTCAATCTTTTGTAATTTTGGTTTTGCCCATGCCACTCCATTGAAATTGCTTTCTCAAGGACTACCAGCAAACTTCATGTTGCCAATTTTGATTGGACAAGCTACAGTGTCCACAATCAAATATGAATTCCTTTGTCTGGAATTTAGAGCTCTTCACATCCTGATCCTTTGCTGTCTTTCCAGTTTCTTATCTTGCTGTACAAACAACATTCCATTTCCATCTCAGTACATTTGCATTGGTTATCCTTCATTCCCAGAAGACTCTCAGTCTTCATTTTAATTCTTAATATCTCTAGTTTCCTTCAAGATACAGCTCAAACACATCTTTGGTAGAAGGTTTTTTCCTGTTCTCCCAGCTTCTAGTGTTCACCCCTCTAAGGTTACCTTCCATCTACTCTGTTATTTTGTATGTAACTATTTATGTACTTGTCTTTCCCTTTAGGATGTAAGCTTCTTAAAGCAGGTTCTTTTTTTTTTGCTTTGTCTTTGTATTCTCAAGGTTTTGCACAATGTCTGGTAAATAGGAAGCAGTTTTTTAAGGCATTTTTTTGAGGCATTTTAAGTGCATTTAAATGCTTATTAATTGTTTGCTATTTAATTTATCATGGAAGGAGATATTTAACACTTCACTGGTAAGCAAACAAATACTGTCTTGATAATGTTGGTCTGTAACAAATAAGAATGTTGTCTTTACTGAAAGCACAAATTAATTATCCATTTTAACTGAGACTTCCCTTTTTTCTTTCTTCTCATTTTTAGTGCTCTTTTGGAGATGATAAAGTACATTCCTTATTATACCCATTAGAACTGGAACTACTGAAGACTGTACATACATACTGTGGGAAAATACACAAAATATTCACGAAACAACTAACAAAAAGTATAAGAGACAGTTATAATCGACCAACAAAGGAAAGCTGACTCTTGTTGGTGAAGACTTAAATCTATTGAACTACAAAAAATATGTGTCAGTGATTTTCTTGCACAATGTATTAATGTTTAGGAAGGAATTATTTATCTTTTGTCCAGATAAGCTTTACTAGAGAGAGTAAATTGAGGTATGTTTTATTGTTATGAAGAATAAGTTGGAGCCTAACCTCAGACATTCCTGACGTTTTGAAGTTTTGTTAATCATTGTTTGCTTTCAATCCAGTATTGGTGAAAATGGACTCTAACTGATGAATAGTTTTAGTTTATATGATTCTGTTGACTGTTCATTCTTCAGTGGGTGAAAGAAATAGGACTATATAAGTGAAGAGCCATGTACTTTATGCATAATTTTAAAAATGTGAAACTGTGAATGTTAGCAATACTTTTGAGTCAGCACTGACCTCACTTTAATTTTGTGAGAATAAAGTTTACAGGGACAAAAATTGTTTTGTCTCTAAGGAAATGTGATATAACCATTGACAATCTGTGTGTGCCTTTTGATGTTTCATCTCTGATATGTTAAAAAATTTTTTGTGATAATCATATTTAAAATCTTTGAGTAAACTATGTACATATTTTAAAGCAAGCCATACAAAGTAATAGAAAACTAGTGTAAACTTCTAGATATTGTTAATAATGATTTCATGTGAAATATCACCCTTTTATTTGTTTGTTCAACTGTCTTGCCAAAAATCAAATTTAGATTTAAATATGTTAAAATGTGTTTGGGGTAAAACTTTTTTATTACTTTAAATGAAATTCATTTGTAACTTTACTAAGCATTCTGGAAGTAAAAGATGCCTATTCTAATATTAGAATTTTAGTGGAAATCATAATAGCATGCTAGTATAGTATTGGTAAGTATAGTGGACCAAATTATAGTTACACCTTTCTTACAATCAGTTGTTTCAGCCATCATAGAATTGAAATGTGTTCTATTTCAATTTCTTTCTTCTACCTCAAATTAATTTTGCCAGGTATTTTTAAAACAAGAAAGTTGACAGAGCATTACCATAATTATATAGAAAATCTATCCATGGATAGATTGTAATTAAGGAAAAGATTATTGGTTGTACTAGAAAAAAAATTTTTGTTTCTATAAGTTGTGTATCCTTTTCAAGTGAGGATGCTGAATTTTTTTCTTGATGTTGAAGGCTAGAGAGTTTCTTTCATTCTTGATTTCTTGTCCTGTTAATTCATAATTCCCACGGCCAGATATGGCTCTTAGAACAATACTGGTTCTTGTGAATTAACCAAGTTCCATATTTACTATTTCCCTCTTTTTTTCTTTGGTATTTTAATTTTTAAAGAAGGAGAGGGGGATCATGTAGTTAATGTTTTACTTCAATGGGGAGAAATTTGTTTGTTTTACGAAAACAGAGAGCTCTTGTTGAAACAAGATTGATTTGGGTGATTGATTTTTCTGCAGTGACTGGCATTGTGGTGAGTTGAGAGGGGAGAGGAGTACTAATGAAGTAATGGAAGCAAGTGAAGGCGTTACTAACCTGCCTGATATTTAGCATTCTTATTTCAGGGTGGGTTTTGAGAGTAGAAGAATTAGTATATAAAATGTTGGTGTGACTGTCAAGCAGATAGTAGCAACTTGAGGATGGGGATGGTTTCATTTTTGTCATATCTCCAGCACTTATAATAATGTCTGACAATTGTTGGAGCTTAAAAGAAGCATGTTTGATCTGCTTAAGAGACTAAGATATATTGAAGTTGGTGATTTTGAGATAGAGAAATAGAATTGTAGAATTTAAACCTGCAGAGATACCTTAGAGATCATTTAGTCCTACTTTCTTATGTATAAATGAATATAGATCACCAGAGAGATTAAATTACTTGTTCCAAAATACACAAGTAGTTGTGTTTTTTTTCTTTGCATCTCTCACCAGTTACTGAATTAGCTGGAAGTCAACACAGCTGCTGTCTTCTTTTCCTTTGGCATTTCTTATCTTTCTATAGATGCAAGGATTCTGGACTGTACAGTGTGATGTTTGTGTGACCAAACATGATAAATGTGGAACGTTGTGGTACTAGGAAGGATACACAGTCAGAAGGAAATATCATCTCTAAGAAAATCTCAGCACAACCTGAAGAAAGAACAGATAAGTAAGGAATAAGAAAACTGATAATCATCCCTTCTCCGGTTTCTGTATTGATTCAGCCTTATATACAGCCCCTTTTTACCTCCTCCATAAGGAATAAATCTTGGTGGGGAGAAGTAAAATTTTCCATCAAAATTTGGGGGGGAAAAATACAAGATAGGGAAAATTATGTATATTAATGTGATAATTGTTTTTAACTAGATCATGCACTCCTCCTAGTCTTTCCTCAGAAGCCCATAAAGTCTGGACAGTTGAATTTAGTATACATTAATTCTAGAATTTCCTACATGGCATAAATAGTAGATACCAGCTTTACTATTCATTACCTCTATGGCCTTGGGAAATTTCCTTTAACTCTTTGGGCTTCCATTTCCTTGTCTGTAAACTAAAGGAATTGGATTAGGTGTTGCCTAAATGTAAGTCTTACTACTGTCTAGATAATAGCCATAGCCTTTTTAGACTAGACTGGAAATTCTTAGTATATGGTGATTCATTTTCTTGATAAAATTGTATTATACTTTATTAAGACAATTCTTAGTGGATCTGAAGATTCCATTCTGTTTATTTAGGTTTGTCCTAGTTACCATTTTATCAAAATTGAAATATTAAGGGAAACCCCATTTACCCATGTTAGGTGACTAGCCCATTATATTTTGTGGCATAGAACATTCATTTTACTATTTAAAATAATTTTCTACATTTGGCTTTTTTCGTCTTAATATTTTATATGTCAGTGGAGTAAATGGAGCTTTTAGCTGTCTTCGAAAACTTAGCTCATATTTCAGTAATATAAGTATTGCCTTGTCAGTTTGTGTGTGTGTGTGTGTGTGTATACACAACACATTTTAGCTAACTTGAACAAACATTAAGTGTCTACTGTGCATTGTAAAGCATTATTATGCAAAAAAGAAAAATGGTAGTTCCTGTTCAGAGGAGTTTACAATCTAATATAGAGTGTTTAAACACATGGAAAGAAATGTTCTTTGAATAAGTATATTTAGCAGCTGGGTGAACCCATTTTTGGCCTGATGTACCAAAGTAAAATGACTTTAAAAACAGTTGGCCAAAGTTCTATTGTTTCATTCTTAAAATTGGCAAAGTATCAGGCAAAAATAGAAAATACATATGGATTGAAATTTATATTTTATGAATTAATTTTAATTAAATTTTATTTTTCAAATTATCAAACTTTTTTTTCCCCACCACAGGGGGAACAACTCTTTTTTGTTTATTATTTGTTACTATAGTAAACAAATACATTGTCAGACAAAATAAATTCCTGTATTGGCTTTATCCAAAACTGTGTTTCCCATTTTGCATATTAGTCCATCAGTGTGTCAGAAGGTAAGTAGCATTCTTCATTATTAGTCCTCTGGAATCATTATTGACCATTGTTCTCAATCAGAGTTGTTAAGATCATAGTTCTTAAGTCTTTCAAAATTGTTCATTTTTCCACTCTGAGATTACAGTATAAATTGTTCTCCTGGTATTTAACTCTGCATCAGTCAAAGTCTTTCCCTGTTTTTCTGAAACTATCTCTTACTTCATTTGTTTTAGTATAATAGTATTCCATTGCATTTGTATTCAATAATTTGTTCAACCATTTCCCAAATGATGCCCTGCTCCAGTTTCCATTAATTTGCCAACATAAAAATAGCTGCTATAAATATTTTTGTATGTATGTGATCTCTTTCTCTTTTGTTTCTTTGGGGTACAGGGAGAAAGGGACAGGGAATAAGTGTTTATTAAGTGCCTACTTAATAAGAGAGATAATGTGCTAACTCCTGTACAAATATATCTCATTTGGTCCTCACAAGAACTCTAGGAGGCAGTTGCTATTATTATTATCCCCATTTTACAGTTGGGGAAGCTTGAAGCAGTCAAAGGTTAAGTGACTTGGCCAGGTTCACACAGCTAGGAAGAATCTGAGGCCATATTTGAACTCAGTCTAACTTACTCCAGGCCCAGAAATCTGTCCAATATACTATCTAGCTAGGTAGAAGCCTAAAAAAGGTATTGCTGGTTTACTTTGCGGGGCATAGTTCCAAATTGCTTTCCAGAAAGCAGGGCCAGTTCACAGCTTCTTCAGTAGTGCATCATTCTGCTTGTTTTCCTACAGTTCTTACATTTGTCATTTTTCTTTTTCATCGTCTTGGCAAATCTGATGAAAATGAAACCTCAGGATTTTAATTGCGTTTCTCTAATTACTAATAAGAGAGTATTTTTTAGAAACTTAAATGCTTATTTTTCATATTCAAGGAAGTAATCAAGTACTCTATTCAAGTTTTAAAAAGTTGCTATGTCATCACTGGAGATTTTAGTATATAAAGCAGATAAAGTATGTATCAGTGAATTCATCTCTGCCTTTTAATCCTGTCCCTTGATGGTCCTTACTTATTGGTCACAGGAGTCTTTCTTAAACCTGGGCATGTAATTTACAATAGAAAGAAAACTGTCGCTGGAGTTAAGAGACTTAGCTTTGACGTGAGTTTAAGCATGTCACTGAAATTCTCCCTGCCTCAGTTTCTCATCTTTCAAGTATGTATAATATTTGCTTTACCTAACTACAATTGTATGAAGAGCAAATGAGATAATGGATTTCTAAAAGAATAATGTTCTTTTCTTTCCTTCCCCCCTTACACCTCTCCTCCCCCCCAATCCAGCAAGCATTTGTTTAGTACCTACCACATTCAAAGTACTATGCTAGGTGCTGGGAATACTAAGATGATGAAAAATAGCCCAGGCCTATCAACAGAGGTAAAGTGACATGTCAGTCAGCATGCCTTTCCTAGGAGCCTAACATGAGTGACACACACGTGACACCCACATATACACAAGTGCTAAAGATTGAAAGGTGAAAATATGGTTTTGTTGGCATTAAAGAACTTACCTCCTTTTGTTTTGTTAATTATTTTTTTTTCAAATGAAGATCTGCCTTCTCTCCCTACCATCTTTCCCTACCAAATCCTGATTGAAAAAGCAAAAAAACCCCAAAACCTCTCTTATCGATATATTTAGTTAAGCAAAACAAATGATAACATTGGCCACATCCAAAAAAATTATGCCTCACTGTGCTCTTGAGTCGATTACCTTTCTGTCAGGAAGTGGGTAGCCTGATTCATCATGAGTGCTGTGGAATTTTGGTTGATCATTGCATTTATCAGAGTTCCTAAGACTTTCAAAATTGTTTCTCTTTAATATATTGTTATTATTTAAATTGTTCTGGTTCCCTCATCATTCCCTATAGCATAATAGTAATCCTTCACATGCATATACCATATTCCCTGCTTGATGGGCACCCCTTCAGTTTTCAATTCTTTGCTGCCACACAAATAGCTGCTATAAATATTTTTATAAATATGGATCATTTTCCTCTATCTTTGTATTTATCCTCTATCATTGGGTTATAGCCCTAAGAGCAGAATCACTAGGTCAGAGAGTATACATAGTAAAATGGATTTTGGAGCATTTTTCCAAATTGCTTTCCAGAATGACTTTACCTGTTTTTCCACAACATTCTTATAACCTCTACCCCAGCTCACATTTATACTTTTTTTTTGTTTGTTAATTTTATCAGTCTAAGATATGAGATAAAACTTGTAATTATTAATGATTTAGATCATGTTTCCATGTGGTTATTGATAGCTTTGATTTCTTCCTTTAAAAATTAATTGCTTTGGGGGCAGCTAGGTAGCATAGTGGATAGAGCACTGGCCCTGGAGTCAGGAGTACCTGAGTTCAAATCCAGTATCAGACACATAACACTCACTAGCTGTGTGACTCTGGGCAAGTCACTTAACTCCAACTGCCCTCACCAAAAAAAAAATATATATATATATATATATATATATATATATATATATATATATATATATTTATAAAAATTGCTTTTGACAGTTTATTAGGTAAACTTGCTGTTAAGGATTTTTTTCTCCATTTAACTGCTGCTCTTATTTTTTATTGGTTTTTATTGATTTCCTGTTTTTTACATCATCATAGTTATCTCTAGTATCCCTACATTGCCCTCTCTCAGAGAGCTATCCCATGTAACAAGTAGTATTTTTAAAAACAAAAAAGAAAGAAAAAAAAGACAAACATAAGCACTACTGATTGATACATGGAAAAAGTTGTCTGAAAACATGTGTAATTGTAATACCCATAAACCTCCTAACTTTATGAAAGGGGTATCCTTTCATATTTCTTCATTTGAGTTATTCATGCTTTATCTTTATAATTATTAAATTCTCTTTAAAAGTTTTTATTGTCTTCTGTTTCTTACATGATCATAGTTATCCCAATTATCCACCTCTTCCTACAGGGTTATTCTGTACAAAAATAGTATTTTTTAGAGAGGAAAAAAAAGCAATGCAGTTGAACAATATATTTAAAAAATCTAAAAAGATGTGTAGCTTGGACCTGTGGACATCTCACCTCCAGAAAGGGGTTGGCTGAGGATGTCCTTTCATATCTTTTCGTTCCAGTCCTGCTTGATCTTTGTAATTTTGTGACCTCCATTTTTTATTTTTCGCTGGGTAGTTTACATTTATATTGTTTTAGTTATTGTATATATTATTTTCTTTGGTCTGCTGACTTCACTGTACATCAGTTCATATAGATCTTTCCTTGCTTTTCTGCATGCTTTGCACACACCATTTCTTACAGCAGAATAATATTTGATTACACTCGTGTATCACTGATATGTTTAGGGATTACCCAATCAGTGGGCATCTACTTTGTTTCCAATTCT